GTTCCACCCTTATTTGACCCTCTAACTCTAGCACTTTCTATTCTTTTTTAATTCTACTTTATCTGTTTATCTTCTTTTTTATAAAAAAAAACACTAGCTTTCTACTTTTTCCATTCTATCTACTTGTTTTTCTTTGTGTGTGTGTGTGTGTGTGTGTGTTTGTACTGCTTTAGGCTGACCGAGACTTGTCATTTGCACTTTTGCATTAGTTTTGATTGCTTCTATTGTCCTCATTTGTAAGTCGCTTTGGATAAAAGTACATGTAAATTTAATAAGTTTATTTTATATAGCTCCTTTCTGCAAACTCAAGGTTGCTTTACAATATCAAAAAATATAAACATGAATTGTCAAAATTAATGTCACTTTTCATCAATTGAATGCATCCTTGTTGATTAAAAGTATCAATTTCTTTCAGAAAATGTATTACTGACCCCAAATGTTTGATTGATAGTGTAACAATGATTCAAATCTGTATTCAGATTAAGTCAAATTAAAGGTAAATCTTTTATTATTAAATTATCTTTAACTAAAGCTTTGAGATTAATATATTGATGTGATGAAACCTCAAGACAAGTCATGCTAGATTTACATGAGATCATTAAACAAAGCAGATGAAGTACAAACTGTACTGAATGGTAAGATTTACATCTTAAACCTTATCTATACTGTATGTAGATTTACCATTGTGTTTTTCTTGAGTTTGTGCAAATGAAAGAGTCTCAATGAGTCTGAGCTGGAGTTCACTGGACTGATATTTATTGTCTGGAAAAAAGGTGGGTGTGAAAATTGGAAATTGTTTTTTTTTGGAAATGCACTGCAAATACATTTCTTGCCAGTAAGCAAAAATACATTTTGAGATTCTGTCTTTGGTGAATTCACATAGTACTACAATGAAAACAGGAATAAAACAAAGTGACGTGTCTTTAAAAAACAGTCACCGAAATGAACTTAAGAAGAACTGGCATCATATATCCACTATAATTACTGAAACACCAGCTGATTCAAACACATTGTGACTTCAGACATGATGATGAAAAGTCACGTTAGTGAAGAGAAACAATCTTGCAGCATTTGAGACAAATTTCAGACATTTTAAAAATCTTGTAACATAAAATATTTACAGTTCTTAATATAATCAATCAACAGGGGAGTATCGTGATACTAATTAATTTGTGTTTACCCTATTCACCTGCTGTGTCTTGAATCAAAGACAATCAAAATGATTCCACAAAAGAACAGATGCATTAATGCATTTGGCAGATGATTTTATTAAAAGTGACTTACATTGCATTCAAGCTATACATTTGATCATGTAATTTTCTAAAACAAGAAAGTTTTTATTGAGAAGCTTCTGGAATTATATCCAGTTTAAACATGTGGCAAAGCAACATTTCCATTAATGTTTAAAAAGTTCTACTTGGTGCTTTTGGAAGCTTTGCCTATGGTCTGCAGGTCTGACCACGTTGGGGTGGTTCATTTTTAGTTTGTGTCTGATAGTGAACAGGCAAACATTGGTTATCAATGACCTCACAAGCAACGATCACAAAATATGCACCATTATGAAGGTCATTAATTTCACACTGTCCATTGTTCCAAGTGCTTTGAACAGTGTACACTGTGAACATAGTCATACTGATGCACATGTTTCCTGTGTATCTGCTGCCTTGTCCATTGCAGATTCTTATAATGCTCTTGGTGTCATCTCTATGTAGGAAGGATTGTGTAATTTCACAAAGACGCGTTTTGGTTAGGTAGTTTGCCCAAGCCTGTTCACTGTTCATGTCGAAAACCTCTGAGAGAATATGGCGGTGATTAAAATTATTGTATGCGTAGTTATTCGGACATCTCTGGCAGGGACGTGCCCAGTTAGAAAAAAGGCCTGGAAACATCTCTGGTTGATCATTGGTGAAACTGATGTTTTTCAATCCATCACTGAACACTAGAGTCACTAGGTGCACGAAGAGAACTGCCAGTCCCATCCTGAAAACAGGAGAGATGGTTAGAGCTTCACAGTTAGTTGAAATAGTCAGTAAGATAACAGACACCAGCTGAATGACTTCTGTATGATGATAAAGCTTAAAAAACAATTTTGTGGCCAAACACACCAATATCATTTGCAAGAGTAGCTTATTTGCCCACTGCATTCTGGTTTTTATAAATGATTGTTTCAAAGACTATAAGGAGATTCAAAAAATATTTTAGCTTTATGACTTTTCACTAGCATGTAACACTTTTACAAATGTTTAATGTTGTATACTCAAGCCTTTGTGGAAATTATACAAATTGAACGTTCTACAAGCAAATGGTTTTGAAGGAACTGAGTCAGTTTTGTTAAAGTCCATGTAAGGCAATATTAAATGTGTGTTCTGAGTTCGTCACAACTCAGAAAAATGTGTTATTAACCAGTAGGCCCCCAACCAAATTTGAATGATAAAAAAAACAACAACATGTAAAACCTCAATCCGTGCCCAGTGGCTCCAGTTCGTCTTTGTATAATTTGACCCACATTTGCAGCAGATCACATTAAAGTCATATGACAAGGTTGAAAAGACAATTTCAACAAAATTCCAAATAGTAGACAATTTGGTTTCTAGTCTATTTTGTTCCAAAATTATTA